GTTTTTACTCTGGGAGGGTGACAGTGGCACCAACATGAGCAGGGACCAGGGAAGAGGTTTCCCAAAATGGCCATCCCTAGTCACGGGCAGCACTTGTGTGCGAGGCTGGGGGAAGCAATGGCTGCACTGGGGGCTTTCCCAGCTGCTCCCATCCCTTGGGAAGGGCTGGGCCTCAGCCCTGCCTGGGGACAGCGCCCACTCCTGTGTCAGCAGTGTGCTGGGATCACCGCAGACACAGGCCACCCCTCGCCCACGGCCACCGCGTCTCCGTGAGCCGAGCCCTGCGTGCCACCAGTGTAACTCGGGTGCAGCCAGTGCCGGCTCCCGTGCGGGGAATGGTTGCTGGTTCAGTGGGCTCCAGCCTTTTCCATTCACGTGCTGATGAATCACTTGACAAAAATGCAGCCCGATTCTGGGTGGATTTGTTCAGAACAGTGCAGCTTTGTGGAGGGGACGACTGCGCTGTGCTTTCCCCGCCAAGACCCCGCAGCGCAGCCAAGCTGCTCCACGCCCGCCAGGAACCAGGGCAGTGGAGGGAGCCCTGAGGAGAGCCTGGGCAAGGAGGCTGGGTGAGGGATGCAGGCAACCCCTGGGTGCCCAAGAACCAGTAGTCAGACCTTCCCAAGTGCCAATGCCCCCACTGGCCCTGTCACCCACCACTCCTGCTGCTGACATGGGCAACCACCAGCCAGGGAGCCCAGATCCTCTGAGAAATGAGCCAAGGCTCTCTGGCTCCTGCAGGGCATGGCAGGCACAGCACACAGTTGGCACTGGCTTTCCAAGTTGGACCAGGGAAATGCTGGAAATGCTCCTTCCCCAGGCAGGCCAAGCAAGAGGGTGCTGCTCTGTGGGAGCAGAGGGTCCCCTGGCAGAGTGGGATCCCCACTGGTGACATCTCCTGTGCAGGTCCCCAGGGCTGCCACTGTGGCCTCCCCATAGTGAGGACCCTGGACCCTCCAGGGACAGAGAGACCCTGCAAGGTTAGCATGTCCCCTTACTGCCCCTCTGCCACCAGCATCAGTTGGGGACAAATACAGTCATCCAATTCCACAAAACAACCAGGTTGTCTCTCTGGGCTTGCCAGTGCTGGGGTTTGTCCTCCCTGGCCCCATACAGTCATCCAATTCCACAAAACAACCAGGTTGTCTCTCTGGGCTTGCCAGTGCTGGGGTTTGTCCTCCCTGGCCCCATGTGAGGCTACCCCACCTCAGGGCACCACTGTGCTCGCCTGTGCCCCATGGGAAGAGGGGCAGTACAAGGACCCTTGGCCATGGGACCCCCCCTTCTGGCCCAAGCCTTGCAGAATGGCTGTCCTTTCCCCTGCTCTGCCAGCCCAAACCCCAGCAAGCCACCCTGCCCACACGCACCCACAGCTGCCCGGGAAGAGCCAGTACCCACGGACAGCAGGGGCCACTGCTGGGCTGGATGCCCAGAGAACAAAGCTCCCTTCTCCAGTGCTGCTGGCAGCAGAGGGGCTGGCTGCCAGTGCCAGCGCTGCCCACTGCCTGCCTGGCACTGCCGGCCCAGGCACCTGACCCTTCGGCAACGGCAGCCCCGCAGTCACTCTAGCCCTGGTTGAGGCCGGCAGAGCTGGGGAGATAGCTAACCACGCTGGGAGGGATTCCTGCACCCGCCCTGCCCGGCGCAAGGGCTACAGCCACCTCCAGGTGCCTGCTGGCACCCCGTGCCCGCCCGCGGCCGCAGCGGCGGGCACCCCGCCCGGCACGGCGGTGTGAGGATGCTGAGGCTGCAGGCGTGCAGGGCTGGCAGGGCAGCGCGGGGGAAGAGGAGGCCACGGAGACTCCTGGTGCCCAGCAGTGCCCGCGGGCGGCAGGTCCCGCTCGCCCGCCGCCCTGCGCGGGAGCCACGGGCTGAGCGCTGCCGTGGCCGCCTGCGTCATTCCGGCCGCTGACGGGAGCGGGACGGAGCCCAATCAGCGGCAGCCCCCGCGTCAGCCCACGGCCCCTCTGCGCCAGCCGCACCGGAGGGCTCGGCTGCCGCGCTCGGCAGGGCGGCACCGGGCACCGGCACCGGGCAAGGGCACCGGCACCGCCAGGCGCGGCGGGGTTTGCAGGCAGCTGCACCCCCGCGGGGACAGCTCGCACCACTCCCCCGCAAACCCCCTCCTCTGCCCGGTCCCTGCTGGCAGCCCCACACTTCTCACCGGGGCACCGAGCCCTGGGACGAGTGGGATCAGTGCAATCCAGCTGCCCGTCCCAGCTGCCCCCGGCCCAGGCTGCACCGAGCCCTGCTCCCCCCTGCCCCAGCCACTGCCTGCTGCCTCGCAGGGGCACAGCCACGGCTTTGCCTACAAGGGCTCAGCATCACCCCCTCACACCCCACATGGAGCTGCAGCAGGAGCCGGGTGTCCTGCTGTGGCACCACTGGGCAGCTGAGCATCTTCTGCAGCAGAGCAGCCCAGCAGAGCCTGGGCACAGCCCCAGTCAGGGATGGTGGATGGGGCAGCCCCAAGCCCTTGGGCCCTGCAGAAAAGCCCTGCTCATCTCATCAGCCAGGACATGCAAGCACAGGCTGGCAGGTTCTAAGTCACCAGCCCCAGTGACACAACCCCAGCCCCTCCATGACCCCCAGCCCCTCAGGCATCCCCCCACCCAATGCAGAACTGCATCTGCCTCCCCTTGCACCACCTGGAAGCGCAGCTCTGGGCTGTGGCTGCTCCAGTCCCTGCACAGGGGCAGATGCAAGGCCAGAGGGGCCATGGGGATGTGTTAGGCACTGCCCACGCCATGGAGAGGAGATCCCAGGTCCCAGGGCCAGGACACACACTGTGCTCAGCCTGATACCCCATACTGAGGGTTGAGCATGAGCCTTGGGGTCCCTTCGCCTTGGGTGCACCTACCCAGCAGTGCAGGACATCAGCCATCCCCACAGCACCACATTTCTGTCAAGGGCCCAGCCTGGATACAGGTCCCTCAGCAGCTGGGAAAGGTCCCAGCAGCACTGGGGCCCAGGTTCTCCCTGAGCTCCACACACCTGCTGGGATGGAAGTGGCTGAGAAACATCCCAACTCCAGAGAGTGTCCGGGGGAAGATAAGCAGCAAAAGGCCAGGGCACACAGGATCATCCCAGGTTGTGCCCCGCTGTCCCCAAGCCCAGCACTGTTTTCACTTAGGCCCACACGAAGCACATTTGATACAGATGAGCTGCACAAGAGGCTTGGGCTGGGAGCCAGAAGGTGCCAGCGCTGCCGGCAGCATGGCTGGGAGGACGCTGCCTGGCAGGATGGGCACCTGCTGAGGGCAGCGGGGCGGCTGCAGAGCAAAGCTCAGCAAGGCAGTGCCCTCCCAGGGGACGGTGCAGACAGCCAGGGCCGCCAAGACAGACAGTGACTCAGCAGCTGAGTCAGGGCTGAGCCGGCGCCCCACGACGGGCAGTGAGTCACGAGTGCCCCGAAAGCTGATCCTGACAGCAGCGTGATGGGAAGCTGCAGCCGCACTGCCCGAGCAGGCACAGGGCATCCTGTGGGCCAGGGACACCACCTCCAGCAGCAACTACAGAAACCCAGTGCTCCATTTTGTCTCAAAACCTCCCTGTCCCCAGCATGCCTCGTGGTGAGCCAGGGCACCCGAGGCAGCAGCCAAGTGCTGTGGGAGTTGCCGTCACGGAGGAAAGACGCTGGGAGCGGGGTCTGGAAGGGACGCCTGTGAGGAGCATCCTGGATCTGGAGCAGGGGACAGGGCAGGGCCATCCAGAGGTTGGGGCTGCCTCAGTGTTTGGGAATGTTACCTCTCCAGCTGAGCCTGGGAACGGGCCCGCGAAGGAAAGCGCCGGGAACTGGGGCCGGCCTGTTCGGTTCATATGTTAAAATTTAATAAGGGCATTATTCATAGAAAGAGGAATCCAGATCCCGGCGCTGCCAAGCCCTCCCTTTCAGCAGCATCCAAGCCGAACAAAGTGGGACGGGGGAAAGGAAATGCCTGGAAATAAGGTGCAGACAGGGGTGACCGAGCCGTGGCGGCAGCTGCCGGGGACAGGGGCTCCTCCGGGCTCCGGACCGGTGCCGTGGCCGCACTCGGAAGGTCCCGGTGGCCCCCGGGCCCCAGCCCCGCGCTGCCACGTACCTCGCGGTGTCGCCAGAGTCGGGGGAGGCCGGGCCCACCCGTGTCATTCACCGGGGGGCGGTCAGTGGGGACCCGGGCGCTCCGGTCGCCGCTCGCAGCGGCGGAGGCGCCCCCGGGAGCAGGGCCGGGCGCGGGAGCCCCCCGAGACGCTGGGAGGAGGTGCGGGGCGGGGCGGGACGGGCACAGCCCGCACGGACGGACCGCGCCCGGCCGCGCATCCGCACCCGCCGACACACCCCCGGCCGGGCGGGCG